GTGAAAATTCCTTGAATTTTGAGACTACAGGAGTGATAAGAGATAACTGGAAGATTTTCCGACTCGGCCGAGAGACCAACTGCATTGCATTTTGCAATAAGGAACCACTATTTCTGGCCCAGTATAGAAACAAATCACATGCCATTGGTTTCCTATGCAGATATGTACTTTCATGGGAGAGACAGAGATAGGAGTTCCTTATTGCAAAATTTAATCAAACTGAAGAAGCTATACGATGCGGTACATGGAAATATTCGCCACTTCAGTTAACGCATATTTTCCCTGACTTTAGGGATCCACTTTTCGCGGGCTTAAATATTTTTCCACATTAGGAATAAACTGAAAAGGAAGTCCAGGCCAGTGATCTAACTTTACCAAATTTTTTAAGGAGTGCGTCTTGCTGTACGGCTGGTAGTAATTAAAAAAATGAGCCTACTCCTCTCGAGAATAATCGACTTAGATCTACTACATCCGCAATCAATAGTGACATCATTGAAGGGAATCTCAGTTACATCGGATTAGATCCAAAAAATAATAACGGCATAGCCGCTTTTAATGTCACGATGAAAGTAAGTCGATACGCGCATGTCGCTTCTACGTGACGTAACACAAGCGACGTTCATAGACGCTACTCCTGCTACGTCACGGAAAAGCGACAGACATCAATACTCACTGGTAACATTGAAAGGGGTTATGTGACTATGATGGCGCCTACCACACGCAAGTAGTAAACAAAGTACAGAGCGCACGCAATTGAAGCCTGGTCAGAGTATCAGTTTCAACTGGACTACATTTGGATCGCGTTTGGCAGAAGGGAACCAGGACACATTGCCAAATTTAACTAGGAAATTTAACTTTTTACTCGAGAACCTTTGAGCGAATTTCTTTGAAAATTTTAAGGAGTTTGCTTCGTCCTACGCAAAAAATTTACAGTTTGCACCGAAATACGCACAACCTTTTTCATGTAAAAAAGTAAATTGCCCACATAATATTGGCAATAGCTGATGTGGCTTGGTTCCTTTCTGCTGAACGCGGTCCAATTAGGAACTACAGAATCTGGTTCATCCGTAAAAACACTTATATGCTGAGGGAAACTAATTGTACATACGCTGTTTCTAAACTGAGCCAGGTATTATAGTTCCTAATTGCAAAATGTAGTCCAAATGCAAGTCGTAACTCTCGATCAGATATAGCCCTGGAGGCGTTTATTGACATCGATATTCGTGCTGCGTTAATCATTCCGAGTTCGAACGAAATTAGGATTGGAATGTAAGCCTATGGACAGGTAATGCGAGGCGACAAACACGGACCACTTTTTCTTTTTTTGTCTTCTTACGGTGATAAAAAAAATCGCTGGACAACACCACGCGAGTGTCAGACGCGCTGCGATTAATTGAATCACGCGATAAGTAATGCAGCTCGGTTGAGATCGACATTATATTCGCGAAGGATCAGAAAGTAAAGCGCTCGTAGTGTGCAGGTGCAGCGATATAAATGAACAATTTCACATGAAGTTTTGTTTGGCTGAGAAGTGGAATTCGATTCTTTATAAAAACGCAACGATTTGAAGGGGCTGCTTATGCAACCCGCTTCAATTACTACCTAAGATTTTGATAAGAAATTTTGAAATTTGACTCATGATATTAATTAAAAATATATTTCAAAATTAAGATTTTAGAGCTTCTGGCTGTTTTACGGCATTTGAGTACCGAGTACACGACGTCCTAAGTAAACTATTTGAAAAATTTCACTATATTTCATGTCGTAAAGTTTTTAGTTTTGCATATTTGGGGAGGTGGCAGCAATGGGTCTCATTGAGACACTGCGGGAAAATTTCCACAATAGAGTGGTAGCTTTGTAAGTTTAGAATTAGAATTTCCTATCTTTTACAAATTTTACAAATTCGAGACTTTCGATAAAAAATGGGTACCTCAATTGTTTCGTTGCAAATATTCGCTCATGTTGCATTATTTAAAAAAAAAAAAAAAAAAAAAAAAAAAAAAAAAAACCATTGCCCTTCTTGTCTCCAAATTACTATGAACTTTTTCACTTGTTTGATGTAATTTACATACTTACATTTTTAAGGAGAAATTTTGACTTGTTTCCAGTAGAAAAAAATTGGAAGAAAAAAACTACATGCAATTGAAGATTTTTAAAAGTTGCAGAAGCGATGAGCATTTCTCAACTTCAACTGTCAATCTGGAGATTTTTCCGAGCTGGCCACTAGAGTGGCATTTCAAGTAGAGCTAGGACACTGGCCCCTTTAAAACCCTGAGGATCTCGTGAGTGTTATACCTAGACTTAAGATGGGAGGGGCTCCAACGTATGACGAATATCACTTTCTAGAGAGGTGTTATAGACTTTGAATGGAAGGGGTTCCTGCCAACTTTTGGCGACTATCACATGCTAGAGGTAGACTCCTGGAACTACCTTGCAATTCCTGGAAGACTATACTCATGCTGCAATCTGGAAGTAAAGACTTGGTGTTGTTCTCATCGTAAGCAAACTGAAGGTACATGACCTAACACTTTACAACTAACCACTTCTGTAAACGCAATTCATCTCTAATTTTTTGGTCATCCTATTTTTCTCCCAGTTTTTTCTGACTTTTCTCTGTCTTCCCTTGCTGTGGCCACCTAACAGTAAGTATTGAGCCACTTGACCATTGATGCAGACAGCAGTCCAATTACAATGAAGGGAAAATTGCTGGAATTACATCACTCATTAAGGACAGAAATCATAATATGTGCATTGTGCAGGTATCTGAAGGATATTTGATGGGCTTGGGGGACAAGGCGCATATGTGCAGTTTTTGAAAAAATTGAGATATTAGTAATTTTAAGTAAAACTAGTCTTTCAGCATATTTTGTGAAATGCTCCAACTTTAATTTTTAAGCATCAAAATGTCAGTTTGGACGTTCTTTCCACCACAAGGATCCATGTACTTAGTTTCGAACTTTCAAACACATATTTCTCAAAATAGCAAAAACTGCACTTATGCGCCTTGTCCTGCAAGCCCCTCATACTATCTAATATGCGTTATCTAACTTGCGTTAGATAAGTTTGGAGTGGTTTACTTTTCTGTTTGCAAGGGAAGGGTTGAATGTTCTGCAAAGATTCTGTCCTGTGCTCCAAAAGTAGGGCTGACAAAAAATCCTGCCGAATTTCCATCAAGAACTGTCTGGTGCGCAATTGGGAGCAGCAATGTTCCCTCTCTGCAGATTCTCCACCCTCCACAATCGCACAGGGATTTTCTGTCAACCCTAGCCTTCTGGGCCAAGACGGAATCTCTGCTAAACTCAAACGTTGTAAGCGAGTACTATGCTCCTGTTCGAGTCGAGTGTTCAGCAGAGATTCACTCCTGAATTCCGAAGGCAGGACTTACAAAAAATCCTGCCGAATTTCCATCGCAAACTGTCTGGTGCGCAGTCGGGAGCATCGATGTTCCCTTTCTGCAGACTCTAGGCACTCCGCACCCGGAGAAGGATTTTCTGTCAGTCCTCACCTCAGGCAGAGATTCAGCCCCTGAGCTCTGAAGGAAGGGCTGACAAAAACTCCTGCGGACCAAGACGGAATCTTTTAAAGTGAAACGTCCCTTTATGTAAAAGAAAAATCTGCACAATTGCTCTTCTTTTATTTATAGGGTACGGAATTCGAAGTAAAACGACCGTAGGCGTAAGGAATACAAAAAATACTAATAGGAAATTTCAAAATTACTCTTTGGGGCCGTCCATAAATTACGAAAAGCAATTTTTCCGATTTTTATGACCCCCCCCCCTCTTCTATCGTTTAAATGCATAATTTAATAAAAAAATGGTGTTGAAACAAATCGGTATTGTTTTAAACATTACTAATCGCTGGTAGGAGATCATGAAAAATAACAGTTGTATTGAAAAAATAACAGTTTTTAAATTCAAAAAGTTCAGAAAAATTACATTTTAACCAAAAAACATTAAACGTCTAAAAAACGAAATGTGGACTAGTAAGTCTTTAAATTAACGGAATTTGGAAGAAACAAAATTTTTGCGTTTGGCTTACGTATAGGCATAGGTAAGGCACCTCTAGACCCCCTCCCGGCTCCCTGTAAGTGCATTAGGTACGTAATTTGCGGACGGCCCCTTTGTAAAGGCATACTTACATTTATTTGTTTATACTGCCCACTAATGTTACATTTATTTCTGTCTTCGGAGTCTGCTTTTTCCTCTAAAAAAATTATTGGAAGGTCTACGTAAGATTAGGGCCCTACACCCTAGGTCCAGAGGTTTCTCTGCAAGAGGAGCCCTTTTCAATTACGTGCGCAAAAATGCACGCCTCACTCTTATTTTATGGAAAAAAGTATTTCTGTACGGCCACTCGCGGCATTTATGACATAATGTGTAATATAATGACGTCAAAACATTATCGTACCGGGGCGCGAACCGTAAACCTCCCACATCAGAAGCGCGCACTTTGCCATAGCGCTACGACAGTACATACGAATGCGCGATATAATTGCTAATACATAAGTGCAATTGAAGTTCTCTCTTTCTCCACCAGAGCTGAGAGCATACACGCATCGGTGTCACGCTGCCGCTTACTGATGATCTGCGGCAGGATTTTCTGTAAGTCTAGCCTTCCGGGCCAAGAGTGAATCTCTGCTAAACTCAAACGCCCTCCTGTTCAATGGCAATCGAGGATGGACCAATAGCAACAATACATTCCTCTGAGGGAATGTTACTAAAACTGCGTGCAGTGCAGGAAGATCAAAATTAAGTAAACTGCTGCCAACATATCTGATGCCAGTCGGACTGATGATCACTAATCCAAACTTGAGGAGAAAGTTAAGTCTCCTTTACGTCACCATAATAATATTATAACCGTAAAAAATCTTGTATATCTCAGCACTCTAAAAGTGTGCATTAGAGAACTGTTTATAAGTATGGTAGGCAGCTTAAGTTAGTTTTAAAAATTTTGAATAAGGTAGGCATTGCAGCAAAACAATTGAGTAAGATGTAACATACCTTGATCATTTTATACTTCTTCTTGGTTGCAGTGTTCAGATCCTCATGCACTTTATCAAGAAGCCACAATAAAAATTCCTGAGCATCATGCTGGTTATTACCGCGATATTGACTGGCATACTTGTCAACAATCGTTTTAAATTTGTTAGATATTTCTGGGTCATACTGACAAGACCAAATTGCTTTTAATAATAGAGCTAACTGTTCCGTAACTTCACCTTTGGTGCCGTATTTTTTAGAATTTAATTTGTTCCTTCGAGACAAATCTATTTTATATTGGTCTAAAACGAAGTATTCAGCTAGAATATCAGTATGACTTAAACACTGTAACACTGCATTTATAAAACACGTATTACCATGATTTCGAAGTCCTATCACACCCGGCACTTTGTCACCATTTGCAAAAACACTTGGACGCGGTGGCGGAACACGTAAGTCATTAGATGATAAGGATGCAGGACTCTTCCGTCGTATTCCATACTCATAACTCGTACATAAGTTTGTTTTCTGGTTGTTGATATGAGAGGATACTCGCTGAAGGAGTTTGGAAACGAATTTGTTCCACGAAGGTGCTCTAAACAATTTGTGGCCTCCATTTTCTGAGTTCTTCATGTTCTCATCGATGACAGAACAATTCTCTGGGAAGCCGCAGAGTAAGGAACCTGTTTGCTTCTGATTGTTTTTCGTTGTTGCTTGGTTCCTCAAATTTTCATTTTCAGTATTCTTATTATTCTCGTCAATAACTGGGTTGCTTTCTTGAAAACCTGAGAAGAGGGAGAACGGTTGCTTGTGTTTGATCTTTCGTTTACTGATTCTAGTCCCTGTCAGGACATTCCTAGTTAGGTTGAACGTTCTTTTCAATTTAGATTCTGCAACGGTTGATGTACAAAATGAGGCACCTGAATCACTTGTTTTAACAACTTTGTGTTTATCTTGAGAAATTTCACCATCTGACACAGAAGTAACTATTGATGTATCCGAGGTCATTTCAGACATACTACGAAAAAAATAGGCAGGGTCACCAAAATAGTCCAAATCACTTGGCATCATAAAAAAATAAACGTATAAAAATATGGTCTAATACAACGAGCTGTACATTTTGATAAACTGATATAAAAAGGATCATCTTGGAAAACACGAACTACGCCATGAAAGTAAAAACTCAACCAACAATTTCAAAACTTCAGAAAAGCATCACTCACCGCTGTGGAAAATATTTGGCCAATGAATGCTTGGCATGTGGGAGAGTCTCAGATAAAAAGGATCAATGAAAACTCAGAACACGACAAATGAAGAAGTGGCGCGAGATTTAAATGAACGGGCCTTATCCAGGCATGAGTTTGTACTCTACAGGGTGTTCGAAAAGTCCCCTCCCCCCCCTCTAACTTTTGACCTAATTGACCAGCTAGTGAATGGGAAATGACTTACTTATGTTCTCTCTGGTACTAGTCCTGAACTGGAAATCACAATGAGAATTTTTCTTTCTTTGGTTGAAAAAAAAAAATCGGGTGCGTGACATTCAGAGATGGAAAGTGAAATTTCAAAAGGCTCGAATAAATTTCACAAAAGTTGAAATTTATTAATTTTTTTTAGAATTATTGATTAAACCTTTGCAGGTCTGAAAGCGTTTCAAATGGTCTTTCAGTTGATGCTGCGGTATTATGCTACTCTACTGAAGGTGCCAGACACAAAGAGGGGGCAAAAAGGGGAGTTTAGAGAGAAGAACCCCAACCTAACTTCTAAACTAAACGAAAACATTTGCAACGCGCGAATTTTTTAGGCTTGAGGTGAAAAATTTCAAAATTTAGAATCACTGTTTCTAGGCATTTCTTAGCCTCCTAAAGGTATCCCCAAAAGTTTCAATAAATTTCATGAAATTTCACGCGTGAAATTTCACTCGAATTTTCCAGCTCTGGTGACATTGCACCCACCTGCGATGCATCCACCCTTATGCATCCTCCCCAAAGACATAAAGACGGAGTGCTCGTATCTAAAAGCACGGGGAAAAAGTGAAGCCTGGTTTGGCGCTGGGTGCTTGTGTGAGTGTGTAAATGAGCGCGGGAATCCATGGCGGCAAACGGAAATTTGATTTGAACTTGTCCTCTTGATTTTTCCACATTTCTTCTTCGAAACGTATTTTAAATGCCTAAAACGAATATATTAAGAAAGTTGGGTCTGCGTCCTACTATAATACACCTACTTTTGCTCGGTAATAGGCAGTAATTTCAAATAAAGTTAGTTTTTCTTCTGCTCACGGTGGTTCTGCCGGTTCAAACAGGCCGTTACAGTCGTAGATGACCGTTACTCCCAAATGAAATTAATCGGTCGACGACGGACCAAAACTAACCTAAAGTTATAAAAATATGGGTGTGTAAGTGAATTTGGGCAAAAATCAACCTAAAATACTTTATTTCCGCAATTTTATTTAGTTCCCGCCCTAAATTTGAATTTCAAACTTGTCCCGATTTCGCCGCCAATCCTCTAGCCAATAGTAGAGGTGATTGAAAAGAAGCTTCATTTTTTGCTTTTAGCGCTCCGTCTTTATGTCTTTGATCCTCCCTAGAGTCCCTTTATACTGAGAGTCAAGACAACACTCCTCATGGAGTCACAAACGGGAATAAAGATTACACAAATTGAACGTTTGTCGTAATCTTTGATCGGCTCATTCTTAAATTCCTTTCTCCGTTCCTTCTCTCATTCCGTTTGTTCCTTGTCGAACCCGAAATTCCTCGGTCCACCCCAGATTATAATCTTTGCAATTGGTGAAAATGTAATCTTTATTCCCGTTTGTGACACTGTGAAGGCCTAAAATCCGATTAACCAATCAGAAATGGATTCGCATTGTCTTGACTCTCAGTATAAAGGGACTCTAATCCTCCCTATCTAACCTAACCTAACCTAACCTAACGAACGAACCTAATGGTGTGTGGATTCTATGGATTGGTGTGGATGCATCCCACGTGGAATGGATGCAATGTCCTGAGCCTGAGCCGAATTTGCCAAAATTCACTTCCAACATGAACTGACGAGCGTAGCAAAAAGAAGTGGAAATCTTTTTAAGTTGCACTTTAATGTCCGCTTAAATCATATTATGCACAAGGAAATTACGCACAAATGCTGTTGGTAGTAATACAGAAAAATGACACAGATTACTAGGTCACGTGAATTTTTCTGATTTAAATACGTTACTTAATCTGAAACTTGCTGTTGGCCTCCCTAAGAATTAATAATTAAACACCTTGATTGTGAAATATGTCTCCAAAGTAAAATGGTCAGTGCTAAATTTAAAAATCAACGTACTCATGCAAATAATGTTTTAGATATTAGTACATACGGATTTAAATGGGCCAATAGACCCAGTAGGCTATCGAGGAGAAAGATACATAATCCTTTTTATCGATGACCTCAGCAAATTTGCAGTAGTTTTTACAATGAAATCAAAAAGTGAAGTTTTAGATAAATTTATTGAATTCACTAATGTAGTTGATAATCTAACAAACAGGTCAATCAGGAAGCTGCATTGTGATATGGCAAAGAGTATATTAATCATGCTGTTAGGTTTGTGGGCTGCTCGGTGAAGCCGTGGTCGTGGGAGAGCGGAGAACAAAAATAACGAAGAAGAAGTCTCGTGGAACTCTGCGTATATTGTTTGAAATAAAATAAAAATAGTGCACGAAATAAAACTCAGCAAAAACTAAGAATTTTGAAAAGGAGAAAAAGAAGCTCTCAATGTGCGTCATGCAACCTCCGGAAAAAGAATGTCCTTCCCCCAAAAATGGCGGGTCCTCCTCTCTCCTGATGATGGTCGATTGTGGCGCTGTGCGCGGAGAGATTTGGAAGTGTGAAATTTGAAAAAGAAGCGGGAAGTAATTGGAGGTGCCAACACATGCTTTTAGGGATTTTATTAAAGAAAAAGGAATCTATCTTAAACCTTGCCCTAGTTATATGTTCTGTAAGGAAATACTTAACTAAGTTGACAATTTTTAACAAGAAAAATACTACCTCTGTATAGATTGAGGAGAAAAAATAAAAACCTAATTATTACTAAAATAAAAATGTCTTTTTACTATAATCATGTCTGTTGACAACCGAATCCAGTCAAAGCCCGAGGGACCTCCGATTGTGTCCTAGGAGCACATGGAGGCACGCTTTGTTGATTATTTTTCTTTAAAAGAAAAAAATTGAGAACCCCTGAATCCCAAGGTCGTGGGGTTTGCGTCGTTTCAATCTCCTAATACATCGGTCCCTTTCTAGCAGAGCAAGTGCTTCTGGGTTAGGGTGTCGATGTAGTCGGGCTTCGTAAGAGTTGTACACCTTAGTGTTATAGTCCTCTACTGAATCAATGTTGAGGTCAGCGCGAATATCTGCATTTCTCTCAAACCATCTTGCTTTAGCTAGGTATGCTTCTCAAGATTTTCATCTGTATTATTTCGATTTTGTCGAAATTTGACTTAATTGGCTGCACAACCCCACAATTGGCAGCCATAACTCCAAACTGGCCTCAACATTGATTTGTAGAGGAGCAGTATAAGTTGAAGGGATAGCCGTGATTTGCGGCCTAAAAGCCACTGCATATTTGCAAATTTCAGGCGCAATTGATCCACCGTTTTCTTTATGTGTGTACCCCACTTGAGCTTGGAATCCAAGTGAAGACCTAAATATCTAGAGACTTTATCGAAAGGGATTTTGTTTTCACCCAACATAAGAGGAATGTGGGTGAAAGGTCTATTTGTGAAAACGACCTCTACAGATTTACATGCGTTCAGTTTTGTTTTATCTTTAATTGTCCATCTGTTTATCTTATTGAGATGAGATTGGACTTTGTGATGTGCCTCCCTGTAGCTCTTGGACGAAGCTAACACGAGAGTATCATCGGCATAAACTCCCAATTTCCCCCTTCTCCCAGAATGTGGGATGTTTGTGGTGAAAAGGGAATAGAGTAGAGGGGAAAGACAGGAACCCTGTGGAACTCCCGCCCTTATTTGTCTAAAGCCTGAGGTAGTGTTCTCATAACGAATTCTAAATTGTCTACCGTTTAGAAAGGAAGATAGGAGTTCCACATGGTTACATGGGAGCATTTTTCAATAGAAGTTTTCAATGAGACGTCCGTGCCAGACTCTATTGAATGCCTGTGCTACGTCAAGAAAAACCGCCACATAAAATTCTTCATTTCCGAGGGAGTCCTCTATAAATTTTGTCACCCGATGTAATTGATCAATGGTAGAGTGCTGCGCTCTGAAGCCATATAAATTGCGCATCAATTATAAAATCGTTTTTTTTAACTATTTCGTTTAGCCTTTTTATTTATAATTTCTCAAAAAGTTTACCAATAACCGGCAACAGTGAAATTGGTCTATACGAGGCTGCATCTATTCGATTATTGTCTGGTTTTAAAAGAACAAAAATTTCAGTTTTTGTCATGGGAACGGAGTTCCCCATGATATTACAATCGTTACGTTGCTATCGCTATGGGATTCCCTATGCCTCTGCGACCTTGAGCGTTTCGCCCAGTCTTCGATTTTTGGTTGATTTTCCGATGTATCAAAAACCGTTGTATTTTTTAGCCAATCATGTCTCTACGTCAAGTTGTGTTGATTTCTAAAATTCGCTTTCAGCGAATTTTTTTCCACCTTGAAATGTCGTGTCTGACTGGTAAATCTGCGCAGAACCACGAAGTTCCGATTTTGGGCAAATTCTTTTTTTTGGGAGGTTCTGATTGGTTATTTTTCGCCATCAGTTTTCTGTTCGTTGGTGCAAAAGATCGCCTACCTCGGTGCTCTTGAGAAGCCGCCATTATCCCACCTCAAATTTGAAAAATAGAAGCAAAGAAATAATAACCATCGTACAAGGTGGAAAATTGTTCTGGAGGACTCGTTACGGACAAAGAAGTCAAAATCAGAGCTCGATTGCTTGATTTAATTCATGGATAAACAAATATCGCCTCAGCTTACTGCCGCGATGGCAAATGCATGCTGAGATGAACCCTGAGAGACATGAAAACAGTGCGAACCATGGCTCCCACAGCAATGCGCTTAGCTCATTTCTCTCATATCCCACAAAGCGTCAAGGTCTCTTGTGATAAGTCCCGCCCATTGCCCGAGTCTTTTGTATGATATTTTTACTCTCTCATATGCAGATTCGTCATAGCCCAGTTGACTAAACCGCCT